GGCGCGGGCGCAGAAGTGGGAGCCGCGTGCAGACAGGCAAAAGCTTAAAATGCCTGTAATTCCTCAGCAATTTGACCTTTTAAAAAAATGAGTTCAGAATGTTGAAATATAAGATCTTATGTTTGTTCAAAGGCTGTCTGTCTGCTAGACAGAGGTTTCTTATGTGTGATTCCGCCCCTTTTCCCTGAGACTGCCCTACCTGAGCTGCCTGGTCAGGGAAGCGCCAGAAGTCGAATCTGAACTGATTTTCAAAGCTGCACATTCTTGTTATAGCTAAGAGACAGAAAGCTTACTGCATTTCTATTTCCAAATGTCCTCTTAATCACAAAGCTCCATTTGTTCATATTCATGTTTCTTTCCAGAGTAAGGTAGTATTTTTTAAATAGCATCATCTATAACTAGGTTTTATAGTACTGCTGTAGAAATGTGGAGTCCACCTGTGTCCAAATTAGGGCCTTCACTATCCACACACCATTCAGCAGCCCTTCCAGACCCTGGCAATGCATGCCACCCTACAATATCTCAAACCTCATAGCAGCTTCTGCTGTCTCCAGAATGTTCCTATGCTACAATCTTTGGAACATTCAAGCAGTTCTGCACCAAAACAACTTATGCCAAGCAATTCACTCCAGTCCATCTACTACTACTAAATCACACTACACTTACCTGTACTTCTCCAGCACAGAAAAGAAGGCATCTCCTACTTCCTCTCCTGCCCTGATTTTTACCTCTACTTCTTGACTGCCTAGTGTTTTCTCACTGCTGGTTCTTTTTACTTTTAATGCTCCTTCCACTGAGATCTTAGGATCTCTACCATACACCCTCAATTACCTCACTGCTTTAATTTAATCTAACTGGTTCCTAGTCTCTTTTTTGGTGGGGACTGCTCACTGTCTCACACCCTGCATACTGCAGGGCCAGGAAGGCAGTAGTCAGGTAAGGTGGGGGTGCCATACTACCCTTTATCATCTTTCTGTGTTATATACTGACTTCCTAGTCACTTCCTCATATTTGCTACCGAGTTTGGCACCTGCTCACAATTTTTTGTCTCCTACTCTGATAGCGTAGTGGTTACGAATCGGGCTGCAAACCGCAAGGTCAGCAGTTTGAAACTACCAGCTGCTCTGCGGGAGAAAGAGGAGGTTTTCTGCTTCCGTAAAGATTTACGGTCTCGGAAACCCTGTTCAGGGTCACTATGGGTCGAAACCGACTCAACTGCACTTAACAACAACAGCAACAACTCCTGTTTTGATTCTAGGAAAGCTGAATGTTCATATATATAGACTACAAGTCTACCAAGGAATCTGATGATTCTTGATTTCTGGTGACCTTTACTTCTGATCCATTTTGGCATTAATCTTATTTTGGATCTCAGTGAACATTTAGGGCTATTCCATATAGGCATCTGAAACTCTACTAGTCCATCTTCTGACTATTTCTTAACTTCCTCTCTCCTACTAACCTACTTTTCTACTTATTTTTCCAGTCCTGTGATCTCTCCATTTTAACCTAGCCTAACCATCCCAATGTAACCTTCTTTCTTCCCTATCTTTCGTGCACCACACATAATTGTTGTTGTTGAGTTGGCTCTGATCCATAGCAACCCTGTATAGGGTTTCCAAGGAGCAGCTGATGAGCTTGAACCACCAACCATGTAGTTCAAACAACTTAGCCGTCTGACGTATTAGCCCACGTGCCACACCAGGACTCCTTAATTGGTCACCTTGTATTTTTTTTAAAAAAAACAACAACACCCAGTTTAAAAAAAAAAAAAAAAAGACAGAGAGAGAGCTAAGCACTTGAGTACCAACTGAAAAGTTTGTGGTTTGTACCCACCCAGAGGTATCTCAGAAGACAGGCCTGACAATTTGCTTCCAAGAGGTCACAGTCTTACAAACCCTAGGAAGCAGTTCTGTCTGTACACAAGAGGTCACCATGGGTTAAAACTGACTTGATGGAAACAATCAACAATAGCCTAGTAAAATGCTTGCCTTTGAAGAATGACTAAAATCCACCTTCCTACTTCTATGGGGAATGCAGTGGCTCCATACAATACACACTACACTATGACCCACAAGGTCCATGGTTCGAGGACACAAGTTGCTCTGTGGGAAAAGGATGAGGCTTTCTGCTCTTACAAAGATTTAAAAGCCTCAGAAACCCTACACAGGGATGCTATGAGTTGGAACAGATTCCACGGCAATTAACAACAACAACTACTACTATACTCGGACAAGTAGGTACAGCTGAAGAACAGGACACAAAAATACAGACTGGAATCCTAACTATGGACTTCGTGATGAACCCACCTTAATGCAGGACTTTATAGGGTTCAGTCCTAAGCATTTTTCTCTTTTCACATTGATCTACCTCCTCAGGTGATTTCACCCACACTAAATTCCTAACTTCATCCTTAAAAACCTGCTTTGTCTGGTTGTTGTTGTTGTTAAGTGCTGCTGAGTCAGATGCGACTCACAGCAACCCTGTATGTGGTTTCCAATGAACGGTTGGTGAGTTTGAACCACTTACCCTGGGTTCTAATTGACATTGTGGTCCAGTGCTTTATCCCACGACACCACACTAGAATACCATGACATATATTAGTAATTAGTGCTAATCTTGTTAAATGTCATAATGGCACTGTGATGTTTTAAAAATGTCTTCATCAATTAGAGACACACCATTAATTATGGGTGAAATGTTGTATCTATGACTTGCTATAAAATAATACAGCAAAAAAAAAAAACAAAAAAAAACAAAGAGCGGACAGATGAAGTGATACTAGAAGAATGCTACTAATTGCTGAAACTTGAATTGTGAGGATATGTTAGAGTATATTATCTCTACTTTCCTGAAATTTTAATTAAAAACACTTTTTTAAAAGCACCAACCTCTTAGTTCTATATTCTTATCCCAATTATTGGTACCTTTATCTGCTTAGTTATCCACGTCAAAAACATCATCCATGATGCATCCCTTTTACTATTCTTCCAAATCTAATCACTCACCAGATTTTGCCAAATTTACCTCCTATAAAGTTCTCAAATCTGCCCTTCCCTCTTCATCTCTACCACCCCTTATCTAACTCAAGCTCCTCTCACCTCACATTTAACTCTCAAGTGATACCACACCAGTCTCATTGCTCACTTAAATCCATTCTCCACCTGCAGTATATGAAAATACACACAGTGTTTTAGATTATAACAGATTTTATAGCAAATTAGTGAGCTGTACTTACTATTATTTCAGATGCAAAACACCTTAATGGATCATTTCCAGCTTCTTCAGGCTGTTCAAGGAATTGTGCTGTCAGCAAAGGGTATTTCAAGCTTTTGAAAAAACTAAGGTATAAGAAGTGGGTTTGAATATAACATAGTATTAAAATATCTAGTTCATGGAAATAGCACAGGTATCACTAACTCAGTGGCCTACAAAATAGGTGATGTAACATCCTCTTTAATAGTAATGGAGAACATTACTAGCATCATGAGAACATCCTGCTAGACTCAACATGGAGACAGCCTCTACTGCATCTAGAATAAACAATGGATTCTGAATGCTTGTTTTAGGACCACTGCTTATCAATGACGTAGTTTTTACTAGCTCCAGGAAAAATTGGGGCATTTAAATTTTTTTCCCATAATGGTATATATGTTTTATTTAGAAACCCAGACTTAATTCTGTGATTAAGCAGTTCAAACCCACCAGCAGTTCTATGGGAGCAAGATGAGGCTTTCTGCTCCCGAAAAGATAGATAGCATTGGAATCCCTATAGGGCGGCTATGAGTTGGACTCGACTTGATGGCAGTCGGTTTGATTTTGCTTTATTTTAATTAAGTGTCCTTACCTAATAGAAATTTGACAATACTTCATTACTCCCCAAAATGAAAAACAAAACTGTTGGACCATGATGGTTAGAGATTATCAATGATCTAGTCTAGCAAGCCCAACAGAAATATAATGCAAGTCCCACAGATAAACAATTTTTTGCATTAGAAAAGTCACAGTAATAAGAAAAGATTAAAATAAGTTACATCTGAAGTGCTATAATTTCAACAAATAATCATTATGAAAATTTACTGAGACATTTACTTTAAAAAAAAAAAACCACACAGGTTTCAAAATCCAGTGGGTATTTTACAAACCCAATTTATTGTGGACTTTCCGAGGGAGAAGATGAGGCTTTCTACTCCTGCAAAGATTTTAAAAGCCTAGGAAATGCTATATAGGGTCGCCAGGAGTCAGAACCAACTCCAAGGCACTTAACAACAGCAACAACATGATGAGTAAAGGCAAGACACAGATGAACATAAATTGAGTTTTAGTTCTATAGTTTTAAAAGTATCAGTGCCTTTTAAATGTTCTACTGCTGTATCACCTGAGAGTATTTCTAAAATTTCAAAATCTAAAAAGAAATTTACACTTACATGGCAGAAAAATGAATTATACTTACAATTTCAGTAATTCATCTCTTAACTTTTCATTTTCCAGTGAGCGTTCTTTGGCATCAATGACTTCTTCCACAAAAGGTTTAGTGAAATCCATTAAGGCCTTGCAACACTGACAAAGGCCATATTCATCTGTCTGTATTTGTTCTTTTGTATATGGAACAGGAAGAAGAGAGAGCTGATTCCAAAGAGTAGACAATGCTAATCCAACTGAATATGCCTTGTTGTTATGAAGTTTCTGAATCACTAAAAGAGATAAATTGTTACTTGAGGTAGCTTCATCAAATATACATGGCACCAGAAGCCTAAAAAATGTAGAATTACAAAACACATCTCCCCATTTTAACAACTTTGAAATCAGGATAGCACATCGTAGCTTACTGGCAGTGTTTTTCCTTCTTGTTACATAAAATATTAATAGAGTATCTTTTCTTTGTGGCATAATTCAATAGATGCCATGAAACCCTGTTTAGATACATTTGCAACAGATTATATACTTTACAAAAAAGAACATATCTTTCCTTATTTGGAGGAGATGATATGAGCATAAAATAGGAGAAAGTGTACAAATCTGAAATAATGTAGATTTTATTTTTCTTAGAAAACTTGGAATATTTCAAGTGCTATAAAGTTTGACATTCACATTTAAAACAATTTTACGCTAACTTCTGATTATAGGTCCCTCTATCATATTCTTTGAATTATGTCAGTCATAAAATGAAAAGGTAGCCTCTTTCCATGGATAAACACAGTCGTAGTTGCCTAGGTCCACTATACTTACCAATACCGTTACTACAGTTAATCAAGAAGCCTTCTCATTCTACTTCCTAGCTTCATTCCTCATCAGTACCTTTGCTATTACCAACCCCAACCCTCCAATGCAGAGGCTAAGCAATACCTTGCCGGATTCCATGGAGGTACTCCTTTAAATATGCTTAGAGGGAAATTCTAGATATAAATTATAGTTCGGAAGGTTACGCAAAAATTTTAAGTTATAACATAGCACATGAAAAACAGTACAACATTCAATAAACTACACACTGACTACCCACTGCGTGCCAGGTTGTGCCTTCTTTTATGAACAAGAAGATTCAAATTGGCACTACTATTATTTGTTTGAACAGAGTACTTAATAATCATCAACTTCATTTTGGAGTAGTGCTGTTTTGGGATAAACATCAAGGCGACTTACATAAATAGGAAATATTTACATATCAAAATCTTCATTACCTGTCTGTAATGGCTGAAGCAAAAGAAGAATAATTTGGGATATCTGTTTTCCAGAGGGCTCTTCAATCAGTTCAAGCAAACCCAACAATAATTCCTTTGGATTACATAACTATAAAAATATTCACAATTGAACCTGTTTAATGCAAGTTGTATTTAAAGCCACATGATTACTACTTTTTAAAGAAGTTATACACTGAGAAAACACAATTCGTTTTGGTTCATAGTAAAACACTCCACACAATTTTTTTTTTTTTTTTGAAATGCACAAACAAAACATATAATCTGTGACTGTCAAGTCAGAGAAGCAAGAAGCCAAAAGGTCTCTTAATGGCAACGATAGTGTGGAAACATAAAATCCTGGCTAAAGTATGGGAAAGAGAGAGCCTGACCACCAGAGCTAAAGTGCCCTTGAGTTTTACCTGGAGTCCTGGTGTGGCACTGTAGGATCAGCACTGGACTGCTAACCACAAGGTGGTTCAAACCTAGAAGCTGCTCCTTAGCAACCCTTTGAGTTAGAACTGACTCGACAGCACTTAACAGCAGCAACTCAGAAGGCTGCTGTAAATTCCAGGGAGGGTGTCCAGAATGTGGGACCTTGCCATCCCACAAGAAGTAAAACTTTGAACTGCCTTCTAACTGGCCATATCACCTCATTTGCCTTGCTTTGTAAAAGCCCTCATAATTAATAACCAGTATCTACATGGAGCTCCTCCTCCCAAGCATATGAGGGCATTGTCAAAAAGCTCATAGACAAACAATTAAAATACAATAGATTTTTCAATGAATTTATGGAATCCCATCAGACATTTTATTTGGACTGTTCTTACAGCTATATTGATGATGTTTAGTGCTGTCGAGTCAGTTCCTACTCATAGCAAACCTGTACAAGGATTCCAAGGAGCAGCTGGTGAGTCTGAACTGCCAACCTTGTGGTTAGCAGTCATTATATTTTGACTTATAACTCTTGAAAAGAATAGAAAAGATCCCCCAAACCCTACTGTCATCTATTTCAACTTCTAGTGACCCTACTAATCTTTAAACAAGATCTCTCTGAGGTTGTCAATCGAAATATGATAGTGTTCTACTTCCTATTCCTACTTCCACTGTGACTGCCTGTATTCTAGACTTTTCCTATTATTTTAGAGACTATCCCACAGAAGATCAAGCAATGAGATTTGATTCTAGTTCTAATGTTTCCAAATTATCAGAATGATCTTCAGACATCTCTCTCAGCATTGAATTCCACATCTCTACAATAAAAAAATTATCTCCCAGGTCTCTCTCAGAATCAGTGGGTCTGTGATGAGGTTACATTTTTATATCCAGGAAATTTTAGAAGCTCTGTGAAATACAATTACTGCATGTATTTTCATGAGCTAAATGCTTTCTCACCAAACAACAAACATTAAAGCTCTAAATATTAAAAGGCATAGCCGTAAGATAAGTACTGGACTGCTAACTGCAAGATTTGTGGTTCAAACCTACCAGCAGCTCCTTGGAAACCATATACGGGGTCTTTATGAGTTGCAACCAACTTGAAAGCACATAACACCACCACCAACTGTGTTGTGAAAAGAATATAGTTTCATTAACTTACCTTTACCAATAACTCAAGCATCAGAAAATAATCTTTTCTTTTATTATCTTTCTTATCATTCCATAAAAGGCATCGAACAACAGGACCAACAAGATTCCAGCCCATATTCCTGACAATGATCTGTAAAAACATTTTCAGAGAAAGGTAAATACTGCCCACTACAGCACTCTCACAGTGTACTTTCCTAATCTGGAAGAGCTTAAAGCTTTCTCTAAAATAGGAAAGATGAGGAAAATGAGGTCATTGACACTTTACTACTGACTTTCCAGTGTTGGCTGCTAATATGAGTTGAATTGTGTTCCCCCAAAAGATGCTGAAGACTTATACCTGTACCAGTGAATGTGACCTTACTGGGAAATAGAATCTTTGCAAATGTAATTAGTTAACATTAGGTCACACTGGAATAGGGTGGGTCCTAACCAATATGACTGGTGGTGGTAGTGGTTATGTGCCGCGAAGTCAGTTCTGACTCACAGCGACCCCGTATAGGGTTCTCAAGGCTGTAAATCTTTACGGGAATAAAAGCCTCATCTTTTTCGTGTGGAATGGCTACTAGTTTCGAACTGCTGACCTTGAGGTTAGCAGCCTAATTTGTAACCACTATGCTACCAGAGCTCCTTACACCAATATGACTAGAGTCCTTATAAAAAGAGAAGAGGCGTGGAGACAGTTCCAGAATGAAGATAGCCATGTGACACAGAGGCAAAAATTGAGGTGATGTCACCACAAGTCAAGGAATGTCTGGGTTACAAAAAGCTGACAGAGATCTTTCCCTAGAGTGTTGGAGAGAGCATGGCCCTGCTAACACCCCAAATTCAGACTTCTAGCTTCTAGAACTGTGGAAGAATATATGAGGCATATTCAAAAGTGCATAAAAATGTATATTATGAAAAACTGTGCATAGATTTCAATTTTTTTACATTAAAATAAATTTGTAGTAACTTATTATACGTAAGTTAGTGTGGCACTGTAGGATAAGCACTGGACTACAAGGTCGGTTTTAATTGCAATATTGGTGTTTCAAACTCACCAGTCACTCCTCGGAAACCCTATACAGGGTCGCTATGAGTCAGAACCCACTCAACGGCACTTAACAACAACAATTATAAACATGTCTAAACAGGATCTAGATTGAGGCAGTAAGAAGACACTATCAAAACATCATGAATTCTGCTAACATAGAAGCAAGAATAAACATCAAATTTATGGTGAAGCTTGAGTGGAAGAGTGGTGCAATCACTGATGCTTTAAGAAAAGTTTATGGGAACTGTGCCCCAAAGAAATCACAAATCTATAAATGGGTAACTTATTTCAAAAAGGGGCAAAACAATGCAGAAGATGAAGCCTGCAATGGCAAACCATTCATATCAATTTGTAAGGAAACAATCTTGTTTGTGCCGTAATTGAAAAAGACCAACATTTAACAATGGAGACAATAGCAAACATCATAGACATCTCAAATGGTTCAGTTTACACCGTTCTGACTAAAAAATTCATATTGCGCAAGCTTTCTGCTCGATGGGTGCCAAAATTATTGCACCCAAATGAAATGCAGTCAAGAGTAGAACTTCAATGGAAATTTTAAACAAGTGGGATCCTGAAACATTTCTTTGAAGAATTATAACAGGAGATAAAATACTGTTTTACCAGTATGCTTTTGATGATAAAACACAATCAAATCAGTGGCCACCAAGAGGTGGAAATAGTCCAGTCAAAGCAAAAGCAGCTGGTCAAGAGCAAAGGTCATGGCATTGAGATGTTCAAGGCATTTTGACTTTCTGGAGGGTCAAAGAATGATAACATCTGCGTATTTTGTGTTTTGAGACAGTGATCCAAGGCTTTAACAGAGGAATACCAGAAAGCTTCATCAGAGTCCTTCTCTAGCACCACAACACTCCTGTTCATTCTTCTTATCACAGGCAGTTTTGCAAGAGTTTTGTTGGGAAATCACACATCATCTTACAGTACTGATTTGAATCCTCTTGACTGCTTTTTGCTTTCCAGTCTTAAAAAAATCTTTAAGGGACACTCATTTTTTTCTTGAGTTAATAATGTAAAAAATACTAATGTTGGCATGATGAAATCCCTAGGTTCCTCAGTTCTCAAGGGATGGACTAAATAACTGGTATGCATCAATTCCGGAGTCCTGGTGTGGCTCTGTGGGTTAATGAGCTGAATTGCAAAGTCGGTTTGAACTGCAAGGGTGGTGGTTCAAGCTCACCAGCCACTCCTTGGAAACCCTATACATAGTTGCTATGGGTCGGAACCGACTTGACAGCACTTAACACCAAAAACAACATCATCAATTCCAAGAGAGTCTAGATTTTGATGGAGCATATGTTGAGAAATAAAAGTTTTCATTTTTATTTTTATCTTTTAATTTCATTTTTCCATGAACTTTTTTTTTGCCTTACCTGTATATAATCAGTAGCAAATATATGCTGCAACAAAATACAAAGCGGTCGACTTCTCTGAATATTCTTTCAGTACTAGCTATTTCTTTTTCCTGGAAGACTCTTCTCCCAGATAGTCCCATAGCTCACATCACTGCTTCCTTCAAGTCTGCATAGTTTTCATCCCACACAGGCCATCTTCTTTACCCTAATTCACTTTTCTCTATAGTATTTATCACTTTCTAACTGACTACATAGTGTATAAGCATATCTCTGTTATGTATCAGAATTTAAGATCCCTATCAGCAGTGATTTTTGTTAACAGTTCTATCTATCTGCACAAATAGAGTAGGGCATGGTACAAAGCAGGTATTAAAAATAATAATAAATGGATAAATGATGTTTACTACTTTTAAGTTTAAGAGATTATCCAGAGATTTGTTGTTGTGGTAGAAAGTCTGGAGAGGACTGCACTGTGCATTGTAAGATGTATAGTAGCATCTTGCCTCTACCTGTTAGATACTAATAGTATTCCACTACCCTTAAAAATGTCTCCAGATATTGCCAAATGTCCCAAGTATATTTAAGATTCTGTTTTTTTTTTTTTTTATCTTGTGTGTGGCTTGAATTTAATATAATTAACCTTACAATATATTATATGAGGAATATATTATATGAGGGATATATTATATTGTAAGGTTAATTATTCCAAATTATTAAATATTTATCTTACCATTGTTGTTGTAGTGCTGTCATAGAGTCTGTTCTAACTCATAGCAACCCAGTATAGGATTCCCAAGGAACGGCTGTTGAGTCTGAACCATAAAACTTGTAGTTCAAACCGACCTTTGTAGCCAAGTGCTTATCCTACAGCGCCATACTAGGACTCCTACTATTACTTATTAAATAATACAAGCTTTTAAAACTTAACTAGTTCCCCCAGGACTCTACTTTTCCAATTAAACACTTACTTGCTTTTCCTTTGGTCAACTTCTAGTGTGGTGCTGCTGGTTAATGCAGTAAACTGCAAAGTTGGTTTGGGGCATTAAGGCTGGCAGTTCCAACTCAACAGCTGCTCCTAGGAAACCCTGTAAAGGGACTCTCTACAGGGTCGCTATGAGTTGGATCCCAACTGGACAGCACTTAGCAACAACAACTTCTATCCTAAAGTTAGTCTCAGAAGAATAATTAACTATAATAGAAATCTAAGATTTGAAAAAAATTTTGCATATCTGAGCTGAAGAAAACTTTCAATAAAATATAATCTTAACTGCAAAATATTACACAAATATAATCTCAGCTGCAAGGTGAAGAGATAATATCTAAATGTCTCATGGCTTTAGTTAGGGGGATATGAGGGTAATGAATAATTATGAGCATGAGGATTAAACACTCACTGACTACCTAAGCTACATTTAATGCTAACAACCAGATGAAGGAAGATTATCCTCAGTGTACTGATGAAAATGTCAAAGCTTAAATATTACTAACAAACAATGTCCAACAATTAAGAGGTAGAGCCAAGATAGAGCAGACTGTGGAACAGACTATCAATTACTCATAGGCAAATTCAAACTGTAGCTGAAGAAAATGAAAACAAGTCCACGAGAGCCAAAATATGATCTTGAATAAAACCCACCTGAATTTAGAGATTATCTGAAGAACAGATTTGATACATTAAACACTAAAGACCGAAAACCAGAAGCGTTGTGGGATGACATCAAGAACATCATACATGAAGAAAGCAAAAAGTCATTGAGAAGACAAGAAAGAAGGAAAACTTCAAAATGGATGTCAAAAGAGACACTGAAACTTGCTCTTCAGTGTAGAGATGCTAAAGCAAATGGAAGAAATGAGGAGGTCCAAGAGCTGAACAGAAAATTTCAAAGATCAGTTCAAGACGATAAAGCCAA